CTCTGGTGACTCCATGGCTGTTATACGAGGAGTGCAGCCCTTTGTTCCCCCCTGGCCACCTGACTAGCTTACACCTGAAATAATCACACAGAAACTGTATTCATTTAAACACTGCCTGGCCCATTTGCTCTAATTTCTTATTGGCTAACTCTTACATATTAGTTTAACCCATCTCCATTAATGTGTATGGCCATGTGACTGTGACTTACTGGCAAGAGTCTAACCAGCATCCTTCTCAGGCAGGAGAACCATGGCATCTGCCACTCTGCCCTTCTTTCCAGTATTCAGTTCTGTCTACACCGCCTACCGAAGTTCTGCCCTATCAAAAGGCCAAGGCAGTTTCTTTATTCAACCAATGAAAACAACACATAAACAGAAAGATCTCCTACACCATTTCCTCTTTTCTGTTTAAACAAAAAAAAAAGGTTTTTACTTTAACATAGTAAAATTATTTATAACAGGTATTAAGCAAGAATTATAGTTACAGTATTTATATCCATTTTATCTTTTATCATAACAAAGGAAAACTATAACTATAACTATCTATCTATTCTTCAACTCTATCAAAGACTCCAGAAGGATATAATATTACCTAAGTAAACAAGAAGTAAGCAACTTCCAAAACTTTAGAAATGACAGAAACATCTCACTGCCTGTATAGTTACCCGAAGTTTTTCTGTACCATTGGGGCATCCATTTTTAGCCTACAGGCCCATAGTATCCAGCAGACTTTTCCATGAAGCAGGAAATTTCAAAGACAGTTCAGTCACTTTCTTCTGTGTCCTGCAGAATGTCTCCCAGACTCTTTCATGGAGCAGGAACCCCAAAGGATCATCTCACCTTTAGGCAGGTTCAGCAGTCATCTCTCTATGGGAACTGTATGTCCAGTTTATGCATCAGTCCAGGCAAGAGAAGTTTGTTGTCCAAATGGCTAATCAACTCCATAAGGAGACTCTTTGATGCCCATCTTCTTCTTGTAATAGATTGGTGCTGCCAGGAGCAGACATGTCTCATTGTCATGAAAAGCCCTAAGTTATTAAAACATTTTAAATGCCCACCATATTCTGTAGTCTTTGAAAGATATGAAGAATGCCTATCTGAAATATATCTATGCACATCTAGAAAATCTAACTAACATGACTACAAATTTGACTATTATAGATGATTATTTATTAACCTGTATTTCTTAATTATACATTACATTTTTAAATGAACTATACAATCACAATACCTTAATTGAGATCAGAAATACATATAACAAGATTGACCTTAAAATTATATCAATAAAGCAAAATCCATACCAATACAAATTATTTATATCTATATCATACCCCCCTTTAAATGTAAAAGAACATTTATAAACAATATTTGGGAACATGGACATAGTTATTTCTCTCCAAACTGCTTCGTGCTGTATGAGGTTAGTGATTAGGAAAGCAATCGAGTCCCAGGAGTGAGCTTGAGTGTTTTGGTATTGGTAAATGTGTTCATGGGTTTCAGTGTGCATCAGAACTAAAACAAAGCTTTAAACAATTGACTTCATATAACTAAAAGCAAAGATTTGGATGGTTAGTTGAGATAATTGTACAGGAATCTAAAATGTGAAGATTAAGAAGGAACTTGTTTTTCTGGCAATTATAAAACTACTGCCTTTGTAAATGGTCGTGGATGAAAGGCTCCTGATCAGTGAGAAGTCAAAAAGATAAATGTTTAAGTGTGGGTTTCTCAGAAAATTCATAAAGATATGGTTAAAAATGTGTTTCGATCAACTTATCCCAGAAAAATATGTATTTATGACGAAAATGAAGTAACTCTGTAACTTTAGGTTATACAGGAAATCCTCTTTGTGATGGACTTGGTGTGGGGAATATTAAAAAGGTGTTTAAAAAATAAAGAGAGACCCTGAAAGGTGCACGCACACACACACACGCAAACACACCTTCACACATATTTCCCTTTTTCGCTGGCCCCAGAATTAAGACTTTGTGGTTCCCCTTCAAATCCTGATCTGTAGAAGGCTGATCCTTACAGTAGCAATCTAGGAACCAATGAAATAAAGTACAAACAGGGTGACTTCCAACTCACTATGTAGACAAAGATGGCCTTGTATTTATTCATTAAAAGACATATAGATTTTCTTTGTGTGTGAACAGTTCTTTTGCTTTGTTTTGTTTTGTTTTTCAGGATCTTATGTGCCACAGGGTATCCTCCAACCTGGCTATGTAGCAAAGGATAACCCCGAACTTCTGATCCTCCCGCTCCCACTTCCTGAGGGCAGGAATTTCAGGTGTGTCCATCCATACCTATGACACTAGGGATTGAACTTGTAGCTCATGTAAAATCAAACATTCTACCAGTTAAGCTACAAGCCTTTGTTTTATTCTATTCTATCAATAAATCTGAGTTATATTGTGTAAATCAGTCCAATGAACATACAAAGATGCAAAGATAAACTTAACTGAAAGGTGACTCCCAAAGGATTGCAGTATTATCAGTATCATAATAAAGTTTTATACTGAGGGTGCTTTATTGCTGAGGAAAAGGCAGTTCATTCCATTAGATCCCAAAGAGATAACTGAGAACAGAAGAAGGAAAAAAGGCAGGGATAAAAAAAACTTTAAAGCATCATCAGAGGGATTTCTAGTGATATAATACTGCATTCAGTATTTTGCTGGTGGAAATGCAAACTTGTACAAACACTTTGGAAATCAGTGTGGGGGTTTCTTGGGAAATTGGGAATCAATCTACCTCAGGATCCAGCATTACCACTCTTGGGAATATACCCGAGAGATGCCCAATCATACTACAAAAGCATTTGTTCAACTATGTTCACAGCAACATTATTTGTAATAGCCAGAACCTGGAAACAACCTAGATGCCCCTCAATGGAAGAATGGATAAAGAAAGTGTGGAATCTATACACATTAAAGTACTACTCAGCGGTAAAACAATGACATCTTGAATTTTGCATGCAAATGGATGGAAATAGAAAACACGATCCTGAGTGAGATAACCCAGACCCAAAAAGATGAATATGATATGTACTCACTCATTAGTGGACTCTATCCATAAACCAAGGACATTAAGCTATAGTTCACAAGCCTAGAGAAGCCAAATAACAAGGTGAACCCTAAGAAAAACACATATAGATCCTCCTGGAAATTGGAAGCAAACAAGATTGTCTGGCAAAAGTTGGGAGCATGGGGGTGAGGTTGGAGAAAGGGAAGAGAGGGAGAAGGGGAGGGGGGAGGGAAGGGAGAAAGGAAAGACTGGCGAGAGCTTGGGGGAGTGGGAGGGTGGAGATGGAGGAAGGGCGGATACAGAAGCAGGGAAGAAGATATCTACATTAAGGCAGCCATTTTAGGGTTGGCAAGAGACTTGGCTCTAGAGGGGATACCAGGTGTCCACGGGGATGTCCCCAGCTAGGTCCTTGAACAGCAGAGGAGAGGGTGCCTGAACTGTCCTTGCCCCACTATCACACTGATGATTATCTCGAATATCACCATAGAATCTTCATCTAGCGACAGATGGAGATAGAGACAGAGACCCTCATCAGAGAAACGGACTGAGTTTCCAAGGTCCAATTGAAGGGCAGAAGGAGGGAGAAGATGAGCAAGGAAGTCAGGACCACGAGGGGTTGATCCACCCATCGAGACAGTGTGCAGTTCTAATGGGAGTTCACCAAATCCAGGTGGACCGGGACTGAATGAGCATGTGATCAAACCGGACTCTCTGATTGTGACTGACAATGGGGGCTGACTGAGAAGCCATTGATAAAGGCACTGGGACTTGTTTTTATGGCATGCTCTAGCTTTTTGGGACCCTAGTCTATATGAATGCACAGCTTCCTAGGCCTGGATGTAGCTGGGAGGGCCTTGGATTTCCCACAGGGCAGAGTTTCCCGCCCTCTCTCAAGCAGGGAAGGGGAGGGAGGAGGGTGAGTGGGGAAGTGGGAGAGGACTGGGAGGAGGGGAGGAAGTGTAAATTTTTGAATGGAAAAATAAAATTTTTTATAAAAATTACTATTTTGTAGTAATTTTGAGGCGATCAAGGACAAAATAGTGAATAAGAGTTATAAAGAATTCAACTTATGCAGAATAAGTATATTTATTATTTATTTTTTATTTTTAAATGATTATATTACTATTTTGATGCTAAACTTGTCTTTTTATAGTCAGGTTTGATGGTGTGTGCCTGTAATTACAGCACTTAGGAGGTAGGATGAAGAGAATCAGAAGTTCAAGGACATCTTTGCCTAAACAGTGAGTTTGAGGCTATCCTGGACTACAAGAAATGGACTCTTTACATGTTCTCCCCTAACCCAAAAAAGTCTTCTTCTCCTCTCAAATGAGAATAATTATAAATATTTGGGGTTTTTAAGTATTACCTTGCAAGAAAGACACACAAAAAAATTCAAATGGATGTGTGTGATCAGAGGTTTTTGTCCTGCCTGCCAGTTCCCAAATAACCACTCAGAGGCTTAATATTACTTATAAATGCTTGGCCAATGACTCAGGCTTATTGTTAACTGGCTCTTACATTTAAAGTAACCCATTTTTCTTATCTATGCTTTGCCACGTGGTTCTTGACTTAACTCATGTTCTAAATCTCTTTCTTCCTCAGCAGCTTGTTGGCATCTCCCAGACTCCTTCTTTTCCTGCATCTCTGCTTGGATTTATTGCCTCCCTCTATCCTGCCTTTCCCTGCACCAAAGCAGCTATTTATCAACCAATGGGAGCAACACATATTCACAGTGTATAGAAAGACATCTCACAGCAGACATCAAATGTTGCAAGTCTCCTCATATATTTCCCTTTTGAAAATGCACAGATCTATAAAATTTCCAAACATGGTGGTAGTACCAGGATATGGCACCTAATATTTATCTTTTAGAGACTTTGAATCCCATGAGTCATCAATCTACAAAGAACGTTCCGCAATAAATAAAAGTTGCCCCTCCAGTGGTCTCCTGCCAGAAAAGGAGGAGCCTGGCAAAGTCTGGGCTATTCCCACCAAGCTCTTCCCATAAAAGGACAAGAGCCTCACCTGGACTGCACTAGAGACTCTGCAGAGAGAAAGACAGAAACTCATCTCCATTCAGTGGGCAACTCTGAGTGTCTGGCCAAGTATGGAAGGGAAGGTAATTGCTGTCAGTGGAAGAAGGAAGGTGGACTCCGGCTCAGGTCTGCTTTAGGTCCCAGAGATAAGAGGAGCTTAAAGGGGAGGAAGGAGCCTTTGAGAAGGACTAGACAGGAGCTGAGACAGGAATGGCGGGGGAGAAGATGGTCTGGATAGAGAGTGACCTTCATCTTGCTTTTCTCTAGATGACCATGACCCAGTTCAGAATCCTGCTGTTTATCATTTTGGCCACCAGAGGGTGCACTCCAGGTGAGTTTTGATACAGGACCCCAGATTCCTCAAGCCGCTTCTAGAATTAAAGGCTGTCAGCTCTAGCCTTGGATACTTTCCAGACCTGGGTCTCTTGAGGACCAGAGATCATGCTTTTGTTGTTATCAATCCTGTTGCTTGTTGTTTTTGGAGACAGCGTTTCTCTGTACAGCCCTGGGCTGTCCTGGAACTTGATCTGTAGACCAGGCTGTCCTCAAACTCAGAGATCTTCCTATTTCTGCCTCTCATGCTAGGAATAAATAAGCGGGTCACCACAATTCATGCACCTAAAAAATAATAATAATAAATATTTTCTTTTTTAAAATATTTTTTATGGTTTATTTAACTTTATTTTTTGTGCATTGGTGTGAAGGTGTCAGATCCCCTGCAACTGGATCTTCAGACAGTTGGGGGCTGCCATGTGGGTGCTGGGAATTGAACCTGGGTCCTCTGGAAGAGCATTCAGTACCCTTAACCACTGAGCCATCTCTCCAGCCCCCTTTTTTTATATTTATTTATTTATTATGTATGCATAATTCTGTCCGTGTGTATGCTTGAAGGCCAGAAGAGAGCACCAGACCTCATTACAGATGGTTATGAGCCATGTGGTTGCTGGGAATTGAACTCAGGACCTTTGGAAGAGCAGGCAATGCTCTTAACCACTGAGCAATCTCTCCAGCCCCCCATAATAAATATTTTAAATTAAATATGATTGTATTATTTTCCCACTCCTTTTCCTCCCTCCAGCCTTTCCCAATTGCCCACTCTCAGTCTGTACGAAAATAAATTTTGTTTAGTTGTGAATTTATGTTCTTTTCCTGGAATGTAAATACAACCTATGCCATCCATCATAGAGATAATGCCTTTGAGATGTAGGCTGGGTGCAGATTGCCTCTTGAAGGAATTGGACAGTGGCAGTAAGACTGTTGAGAAATGCGCTGGTCCTAACTCTATACTTGTGTGTAACTCTAGAGAAGCTTCTGAAGGAATTGTGCCCCATGCTAGTGACTCCTTACGCTTAGGACCTTGGCCTTTGAGTTTCAGTGCGAAGGGAATGGTCTGGTTTGTGACCAAAGAATGTTTACTTCAATCCTGCTCTCTACAAGAACTCAAAATTATTTTAAAATATGTAATTCCTCTTCACTGATACTTTGGTATCTTTAAGGAAGAAGGCAAGTCCCTAAATGTCTTCTTATGTGATGTCCGCATGATAATCTTTGTGAGCTTGATATTAGACACCAGAAAACTGAGGCTCAGACACAGTAAATACAATCTAAAAATGCTTGACTTGTAAACAGGGAGCTATTTACAACTGAGTAGCTCTGACACCAAAGTTCTCATTCGTTTCCACTCTTCTAGGTTCTCAGAGGACTTTGCAAAGTTGAGGCCAATTTGCAAGGCTTTTGCTTCCATGTCCTCTTGGTCTAGCTTCTGCCCTGTCTACCTCATTATCCATGCTCCAGGCACATTAGGCTCCCTGCATTTCTCCTACCTGCAAACCTGGACTTCACTTTATTCTTCTTTTTCAGGACTTTGGACACAAACTTCTCCACACCTTCAAATCTCTTGTCGTTCTTCCTAGTTACAAATCTTGTTAATTCTCAGAGGGAGGCTTTGAGAAGTCGTGGGATGAGTTTAGGATGAATGACAGGGGAGGCTGGGTGTCCCATGAGAGTGAAACTCTGCATCTTCTCTTGTTAAAGAGAACCTGGACACCAACACCCACGCCAATCCTGTGTTTTCCCCTCTGTTCAGAAGCTGCAAGGAAATCAAGCAGAAGGTCACTGGGGCACGAGGTGAGTGATGAAGCATTTAAAGAGCACACTGTGATCCTAACATTTGGGAGCCAACGGCAAAGAATTGAAATCTCCAAGCCAGCCTGGGGAGACCCTGCCTCAGAAATGCAAACACACAACCCAGCTAGGAAATCGGGCTTTTGTCCCATGGAACAGCTTTATTTATATGTAGAAAATGTTACAGAATGTACATAGTGGATAAAAACTGCACTTACTCAACTTTAAGGGTATTCAGAGTCAAGAATGACTTTCACAAGGGTAAGGATCACCACTATCCATCCCCAGAAAGTTTTTGTTCCTTTAATAGAAATTCTGTAGCAATAAACTCCCACATTCCCTGTGAGTTGCTGTTCTGTTTCCTACTTCCATGAATCTGTCGATATCTGTTACCTCATATGACTAACTTGCCTCATTTTGTTAGCAATCTTCAAGGCTCATATATGTTGTAAAATAGTTCATTTATTTTTAAAAGATTTATTATTACTGTGTGTAGATAAACATGTCTGTGTGGGATATTGTGTACATGTATGTGTAGGTACATGCAGAGTTCAGAATAGGCCATCTAGTCCTCCGGAACTGGAGTGACGAGCACTTGTACAAATGCCAAGTGTGAGGGATGAGAACCTAACTCAATTCCTCTGCCAGAGCAGTACTTGCTCTTAACCACTGAGCCATTTCTCCAGCTCACTTTACTCTTTTTGAACTATTGGATACATATGAATGTACACAATATATATTTTGTATAGTAGACAGCATAGAATATACTGGGTATTCCTTTTGCTTTCTTTCTTTCTTTTTTTTTTGGGGGGGGGAGGTTGAGACAGGATTTTTCTGTAGCTTTTGGTTCCTGTCCCTGAACTAGCTCTTGTAGATCAGTCTGTCCTTGAACTCACAGAGATCCGCCTGCCTCTGCCTCCCAAGTGCTGGAATTAAAGGCATGTGCCACCACTACCTGGCTGGGTATTCCTTTTCTATAGAAAAATACTTGACTTGTTTCTACCTTTCAGGTCTTGTGTCCAGAGCTGTAACAAACATGAATATACATATATGAGTCCCTGCTCCCAGTTCTTTGTGTATATACTGAGTAGAATTACTAAATCCTTTGTAAATACTCTGTTTGACATTAGGAAAACAACACTGTCAGTTTGGGTAATTTCATGTTCTCCTTTAGTCCCAAAATCGTGACTTTTTGAAGTCAGGCAGAACCCCAGGGACACCTGTGGTAGTACCCTCAGGGTCTGCGGGAGGAGGCTGCTTGTTTGTTTCCTGGCTACTTAGCCCTGAAATAATCACACATAAACTGTATTAATTAAAACATGCTTGGCCCATTAGCTCTAGCTTCTTATTGGCTAACTGTTACACATTAATTAACCCATCTCCATTATTCTGTGCATCACCACGAGATCATTGCCTACTAGCAAAGTTTCGGTGTGTCTGTCTCCAGTGGAAGTTCCATGGCTTCTCCCTGACTCTGCCTCCTTTCTCCCAGCATTCCTTTTAGTTTTTCCCACGTAGCACTGTTTCCCTATAGCTCTGCTATAGGCCCAAAGAAGTTGCTTTATTAACCAATGATTTTCATGGCAAACAGAGGGAAATCCCACATCAATTAACCATGTTTGTAGTTCCTAGAGCCATTCAGTTTTCAGAGCAGAGATGAAAAATGAGCCTGCACACAGGAGGACTGTGGACTGCTTCTCTCTACAGATGGTCTCTATCTCCTCCGCACGGAGAATGGTGCCATCTACCAGACCTTCTGTGACATGACCACTGCAGGTGGAGGATGGACCCTGGTGGCCAGTGTGCACGAGAACAACTTGCATGGGAAGTGCACGGTGGGCGATCGCTGGTCCAGTCAGCAAGGCAACCGAGCAGACTACCCAGAGGGGGACGGCAACTGGGCCAATTACAATACCTTTGGGACTGCAGAGGGGGCCACAAGTGATGACTACAAGGTAGGTACACTCTGTAGTCACTTGGGAAAGTGTGAGGATGCGAGTGTAACTCAAGGATGCCATGGAGAGGAGGGAATGTTGTCCTTCAACACAGGGCAGAAGAAGTGAAAAGTGTTTACCTTGAATCTCAGCATCCTCCCAAGTAGGGTTTTCAATAAGTAGGAGGTGGTGGTGGTGGAACCTTGGAAATGGGTCATCTGAGCATAACTGGCCCTCTGTCTATCTGGAGCCTAGGGATATCAGTTCTGCTGGGGACTTTTGCTCAATGAAATGTCCTGCTCTGGTCAGACTCAGTATTTGTTGCTTTCCAGAACCCTGGCTACTTCGACATCCAGGCTGAGAACCTGGGGATCTGGCATGTGCCCAACAATATCCCCCTGAAACATTGGAGGAACAGATCCCTGTTGCGGTACCGCACTTTTAGTGGTTTCTTGCAGCGCATGGGCCATAATCTGTTTGGCCTGTACCAGGTATTTACGATTGCTAACAGAGGCTGCTTTTCACAGGCATGGAGATAAGCAAGTGTTTGAGGTTGGGCATGTGGTATTCTGTGTTCCTCTCATTCTAAAGTGTAATGAGCCAAGGAAGGAAAAACATAGGAATATGTGGAAAAGAGGGAGAAAGAGAGGAGAAAGAAGAGAGGAGGGGAAAGAAAAGGAGAGGAGAGGAGAGGAGAGGAGAGGAGAGGAGAGGAGAGGAGAGGAGAGGAGAGAAGAGAAGAGAAGAGAAGAGAAGAGAAGAGAAGAGAAGAGAAGAGAAGAGAAGAGAA